CACCAACACCACCATCACCACCATCACCACCATCACCACCATCACCACCAGCAGCACCAGCATCACCAGGAGCACCAGCAGCACCAGAAGCATCACCAACAGCACCAGCAGATCCACTAGATCCACCAGCATCAGCGCACCAGGAGCAAGAGCAGCACCGGCACCACAACGCTCTGCTGATAGCAGGTCCGATCATGGCGACAATGAGCTGCCACAGAGACTGTCACCATTGAAGAGCCCAGTGGAATGGCAGCCGGGGAGGAGAGAGCAGCGCAACAGCCGGATCGCCTGGCCTTCCCTGGCCCCCTTTCCTGGAAAGCCCAGAAGCACAGCGCTGGCCAAAAGATCGTTTCGAAAAAATAGCTGGACTTTCTTTGGGGCGCGCGTTTTTCGGGGGAGAATAAATAATATCATTTTTTGCTGCTTTGAAGCTTGGCATTGGGAGACCCGTTGACTCGGAGAGTCGCCCCCGTCGCTCCGGCTCGAAGCTCGGATTCGGATGCGGAGGCGGAGGAGGGTGTGGAAGGGACAACAGGCGGGGCGAAGATGCGCGAAGGCTGCCTTTTTTGGACAGATCTCCGCCCGAGGTTTATGCTCCTTGAAGCCCTGCTCCCACTTGGTGCTCTTGCTGTTTACCAAGCCACTTACGAGGCCAGATGTTTTTCCCATCGCCACTGTGGCTAGAAGAATCTATGGAGATTCGCAGGCGGCAGTGCTGCGGAACATCGAGGACGGGTATGCCCAGTCCATCAGTATCTCGGGTGACCCCGGCCTGTGCTTGCCAGGCTTTGAGGTTTTCTGCACAGTTCCGGGCAGCAGCATGCCGTTCTCTCTTGACCACTTCGCGAGCTCGCCCACAATCTTGGCCTGTCGTGTGAGGAAGCGTGAGTGGGACAGCACACTAAAAGGCATACCAAGAGCAAAGCACAAAATTTCGTGTGTAAAACACAATCTCGCTATATGTACCCACATCGTATCATTTTTGTTTGCATCACCACGCAAACATAGACAAGTAGAAACATGAACACACACACATGGAAAAATACATCCATCCATCCATCCATCCATCCATCCATCCATGCATGCATGCATGCATGCATGCATGCATGCATACATTCATTCATCCATATACATACGGTTACATACGCATGCACCTATACTTATACACATATGTACATATTCATACATGCATAAAGGCATGTATGTATATTATGTATGTATGTATGTATGTATGTATGTATGTACGTACGCATGTATGTAGCGCTTGGTAGATATTGCTCCTGTGTGCCCTATACTCTAGGATTGCTTTGTCTTTCATAGACTCGCAGGCTTTCCAATCCTTCTTCCTCCATTCTGAGCTGAGATCGGGAGTCTATCTTGTGTCCGGACCTTCTCTACAAGACGGGTTCAGGGGGTTTACAGCCTGATCTCTCAAGGAGCGTGCTTCTGTCGAGCCTTCTGTCTGCATGTTGGGTTTCTCTTTCTTTTGTTGCTCTCGATTCCGTCTCTTTTTCCCCTCTTTGCGGTGTAGTAACACTATAGACTTCCTACGTTCTGCCTACGGGATTAGAGTTCTTGCGTTCAGAGTGCTTGGGAACGTGTTTTCGACCAACATCGCCTTCTTTCCACGGTCGCTGGGTTCTGTCTGCCTGGGACGCCGAGTTCGCCGTCGAATCCAATATTGTTGACATTTCCGATTTCGTGCTTTTTTCCGCAGGTCTAGCAGGTATCGCTTTTCAAGTGTCCTTGTTCTCCTGCAACACAGACTCATTCAAATGGCTCGAAGTTTTGCAGTCCCGGCATGACCAGCAGATTTTCAACTTCTTTCAATCGTTAACTGGGTGGAAATCGTCCTCCTGCCACACAGGCTCATGCAAATCGGACCACACTAATCCGCGGGGCCCCCGTTGGCGTGGGTCTCGGGCTTTCGCCGTTCTGAGGTATAGGAGTTGCCAAAGTTGAGAATCGTGCTCCCGCCAAAGTGCTGTGCGGCTTTTGGGGTGCGACTCGTCTTTCTGCCCTCCAACAATCGTGTTCCCGCCGCTGTCGCATGCACAGCACGGTGCATGGTCCTGCAGGGTGACTGTTGTGCGCGCAGAATCGAGCTCCCGCGCTGTGGTTGGCATTTTGGACTGATGGGGGGAGCTTCAGGTGTTCTGGAGGAAGGCTGGGTAGGTGTGGCTTTGACTGCGAGGTGCTCTTCACTTTCGCTGTTTGGGGTCAACTGCTTTGCAGCTCTGCTTTGCAGCTCCCCTCTTGCCATACGTGTGTGCGCCTGCGCAGCCGAGCCGATTGCTTTGAGGCGATGCCCTCGTGGTTGGCTCTCCGGCAGAAGGCTCCGGAGTGGTCTACGTCTATTCGCTGCCCTCCGCCCCTGTTTGGAGTTAAAGACACTTGTCGGTCTTTGTCTTTGTCTTAGTGCAGACTTTGCCAGGAGTGCAGGTCAGTGGCTCCAAGAGTTGCGGCTTGTCCCGTCCGACGCTGTCACTCGGCAAGAGACTGCACATGCAGAATCAGCGAGCCTTCTGGTCAAATTTCAAGATGTGAGGTGTTGGATCTTTATATGTTTCTTGCTCGTGTCACCACATGCATGTTGGGCCCAGGCCGTCGGCGATCGTTTCGGAAGCTCGCTGAAGTTGTCAGGCGAGCTTCGCTTTATGTCGTCGGGAAGCCTCGCTCGAGACGACAGGCGATTATCTCGTGGTGGGGGCCAGCGGCCACGACGTGAATTCTCTCTCAGAGACGGGGTGCCGCACTCGGACACTCTCGGAGTTATAGGACTCCCAGCCGCAAAGGCGCGCTGAGCGCTCTGTGAGGTCTGCCTACATCTTCACCAGAAGCTCGGGCTGGCAGCAGCAGGTGCGGGGTTTTGGGGGGTGCCTTTTTCAGAGACTGGCCCCCTACCCCCCCAACTACCCCCCTTTGCCGGAGGCGAAGCTGCTCGCCAACGACACGATGGCCGGAGATCGCTTCGGCGTGGCCGTGGCCGTCACAGAGGAGGGCCACGTGCTGGTGGCGGGCCTCGGCTGAGAGGTGATGCGGCCCTCTGCTGCTGTCTCTCCTCGTAAGGATACTTCGCAGTTTTGTGGTTGCTATCAGGCCAACGCACTGCTTTTCCACTGTTCCTCATACTGCCCTGCTGCTTGTACCACGGCGTCCCATGGTCTCATGCGTCTTGAGGAGAGCATCCGTGGCCCAGCCATGATGACGTCCATGGTCTAATCTGAGAAGAGAGCATCCAAGCGCCCAACCATGGTTCAACAATGATGACGTCCACGATCTAGTCCGTTCTGAGATGCCCAACTATTGTTATTTGCAGCATGTCGCGTAAGTTACGGATTTTTTTACCACTTTATGAGCATTACCGCTTTGTCACATGTGCGAGCATGTCCAAAACAACTGGTGTTCACAGCTTCTCTGCCTCTTTGCACAACACAGTGTAAGTCCCATGCCTGCGACGTAAAACACACTTTACACAGCCAAAATCAGCAAGGGTACCATGTTTGCGTGTTGGCAACTTCATTGTGGATTTCCATCTGCGTTCGCTGGCCCTCCTTGCGTGCGTGTTTGACAACCCGCAGGGTGGCTGCATCTCAATTCTCGTGTGAGGAGGGTTCCAAATCAGGGTCCGCGACTGAGAAAACCCACTTTAGACAAGGACAAAGACTTGAACGTCTGAGCCAACCTTCACGCGAAGAATCGAAGATTTGTAGATGTCACATTTGTCTGCCCACTTGCCTGTTTTTTCGTTTTGTCCTACGAGTAGGCCATTTTCTCTTCAGAACCCTAAACCCTAAACCCCTAAGCTTTAAATCCCTAAACCCCTAAAATCCTAAAACCCTAAACCCTTAAACCCCTAAACCCCTAAACCCCTAAAGCCCTAAAGCCCTAAAGCCCTGAAGCCCTAAGCCCCGTAAACCCTAAAAACCCTAAACTATCGAGGTGGGCGCCGACTGGCACACGGGCATCGGGGGCCCCGGCAGCGGTTGGGGCCTCAGCCTCGAGGGAGGGCTCGGCTCCCCAAAAGAAGGGCTTTCAGGGCCGTTTAAGGGTTTTAGAGGTAAGGGCCGTTTAGGGGTTTAGGGTTTAGGGGTTTAGGGGTTTTAGGGTTTAGGGCGGTTCAGGGTTTCGGGTTTTAGGGTTCAGGGCCATTTAGGGTTTCGGGTTTTAGGGTTTAGGGGTTTTAGGGTTTAGGGCCGTTTAGGGTTTCGGGTTTTAGGGTTCAGGGGTTTAGGGTTTTGGGGGTGTTGGAGGGTTTTAGGGCTTAGGGCCGTTTAGGGGGTTAGAGGGTGAGGTTTAGGGTTTAGGGTTTAGGGGTTTAGGGTTCAGGGTTCTGAGTGGGGTTTCTAGGAGCTTTGTAGGGGGAACTTAGGCTGATGGTCTCCAGGTGCGGCCTATGTGTTCCGGCGTGACGACACGGGAACAGGGTGGTCGCAGGAGGCGGGTGGCCTGCATGCATGTGGCCAGGCATCCTTGCGTTACACGTTTCATGTCTCCTCGGAGTCATTGTTGGTTCAGAGGAAATCTTCAAAATCGCTTTCCGAAATGGCTTCGTATGCCAGCAGGTTTTCCGAAACGCCGTGCAGCTGTTAGTAAGCTGATCATCGCGTGATCGCGAGCCGAAGCCCTTGAAGCCTTGAAGCTCTGGGTTTGGGCCAAGCACCCCGGACATGCGGAGGCAAAGAGACTGAGCATTGGAAGGAAGAGTAAAGGCTTGTCGGAGGAAGGCCCCCGCAGTTTTCGCATCTCACCGCTTGGGACGGAGATACGACCGCCCCGTACTTTTCGTGAGCATCATTGAACCCTTGCCGTCCATTCTTCGTGCATCCGTGGACGCATCAAGAGCTCGGCTGATTTCTGAGCAATCCCTAAGCCCGTTGGCGGTGCAGCGCTCGGAGCTCCGACCCGAGACCTGAAAGGGTCCTTCCGAGATCTCGGAGCCGATAGAGACCCCTTAAAATCCATCCTCCCTCTGGGGTTCAGGGTTTTACAGGTTTGGGGTTTATAGTGTTTAGGGTTTAGGGTTCAGGGTTCCCCTTTTTTGTTCCTAGGGCGCCCCATGACTAGACCTGTTCAGGCGAAGTTGACGGCCAGCGACACGGTGCCCTTCGATCGCTTCGGATCGGCAGTTGCCATGTCCGGCTCCTACGTCCTGGCCCCAGCCGAAGGAAGCAGACCCTAAGCCCTAAACCCTAAACCGCTAAACCCCTGAACCCCTAAACCCCTAAACCCTGACACATAAGCTGCTTGTGGAACTTCACTTTTTCGGCCGTTGCTCAAGTTTCGGTGGGACCCCCTGGGCATGGACTTTGGAAATTTCTTGAAGGTTGTGCACTCAGGCGTCTCAACTAACTTTTGGGGTTTGGGTTGCCCTTTCTACTGCGGCGCCTCGTCGTTTGCGGCATTGGCCTTGGCTTTTGTGAGTGGATTTCTGTGTGCAGCCTGCCTCGCTGCCTGGATTTTCCTCCACATTTGGCTTCACGGCCGGCCCTCCTCGACTACGCCCGCTTCCTCTCCCTCGACAGCCGCTGCTCTCAGATTGAAGCAGTACGTTGATGCAAGGCGCTGAGGTTAGCATTGTGGCTTTGAGTGCAACCGTTGGACAGCTTGAAGTGACTATCAGAGGTCCCTTGCCTGAGGCCTCTAGGTTGTTGCAGCACCTTCAGCTTTTTGAGTCAGGCCCGCCCTCCGGAGACCGAACCCCCTCAGCCTGTCAGGTGCCTGTTGTGTCTGCTACAAGCACCGAGCCGTCAACCTAGCTCCACCTCTTCAGGTCAGCAAAGGCTGTCGACGTCCTCTCCATCAGTCCCTGCAGCCCTGTATCGGAGCTTCCGTGACTACAACACGGCTGTGGGCCCGCTTGCCTCTTCTCCCTCGGTGTCGCACGGCTTCCCTTCTGAGCTCGAGGCTCGAGTTTACGTGGACGCGGCGGGGCTCTCCTGGGACGCTTTGGTGCAGTAATGGAGTCAATTTTGCCGTTTGCCGAGCGAGCCCAGGTGTGGGTGGCAAAAAGGCCAAATGGGCTCCTGGTGGCCCTGCCTGTTGGGGTGATCCCAGAGGCTGCAGCACAGGAGGCGCAGATGGACGACTTGGTGGGTTCTTCGCTCGCCACCGAAGCCCCGGCCTTGGCCTTTGCCACCAGCGGTTTTTCCCCTGTGCGGGATCAGAGCCTCTCGGCCATAGTCGTGGATTTTTCTGTGCAGGCCGTGGCCCGGCTCTCGCCTTGGGAGGCCGACTCACCTTTGGATTTGGTTGTTCCCTTCGACCTTGCACGGCCCGAGCTTGTGCCCGACCCGGCGGTCCTTCTTCAGCTTGCCTTGGATTGGGCAGCCGCAGCAAAACCTTCAGACCGTCTCCAATATTACTCTTTCGAGGAAGGGCCTCCCGAGCCCCTGCAGAAGCCAAAGCGTACTGTACTTCGTCTGTCCAGGGCCGATGCTCCGCAGGCCGCCTCGGGTTTGCCTTCAGGAGAGGTGCCACTCACGACCGCCACTCTGGCCAACCAGCTCGCGAACTTATCTTCGACTCTTCCTTCCCGATCAAAGTCAATGGAGGAGCTGTCCGAAAGACAGGCCGTGATGGAGAAGCAGATGGCTGCCGGCCCGGCTGCCCCGCTCAGCCAGCGTTTGGGTTCAGGGATTCGCCCCAAGCCTGCCGGTACCCCAGCCCTAGATTGTGTTAGGTCCCCCTCCCCGCACTGCCTGTGCCAATCCTCAGCCCCAGTTGCCTATGATGGGCCTTCCCAGCACAGCCGAGGCGGCCGCGGAGGAGGCAAAAGACCAGCTTGGATTGCAGGCCCCTCCCAACACCTTGTTACAGGCGTTTTGGAGCAGTCGAGAGCGACTGCCTTGGTGGCTCAGCTTGCGGGGTCCTCCAACCACCTCCTTTCCGACAGCAGTGCCACGGCTGCCCATTTGAGTGGTCGAGGGCCAGCCAGAGGGCGCAGATGGAGGAGCTTGCGGCCGACAAGGAGGTGTTCTTTGCAGCCGTCCAGAACATGTCGCATGGCCCCAGCAGCGAGCCTTGGAGCAGAGCCGGCCGAGCTGCAGCAGGGTGTGTGCCTGTCCCGGTATTGGGAACCCTTCTGAGGTTTTGCAGGTCAACGGGACCTAGCACCAATCGCCCACACGCTGGCCCCCCCCTATGTTCACCGCCCGCTAGTGCAATGCACACCCGTGCTTTTGCACCCTTAGCTTCTCAGAGGTGGGTGGCTATTGTCCTGAGCTACATAAAGGAACTAGACTCACTAGACGTGGTTGCTGCAAAGCGGGCCGATATGAAGAAGGGCGGAGCCCCTTCGGCCTTGGCTCAGGAGCAAAGGACGAGGACACAGAGGACGGATTGTTCTCTGCCAGTGGCCCACGGCTTTCATCGGTTGCTTGGCGCCGCATGCGCCTCAGGAGAGTTCTGCGCATCATGGTGCTCGCCTTGAACTTTGTGCACGAGCCCCTCCGCTTTACTCCGTTGGATTTGCTGTGGAGGGTGCCAAACGCCCACCAGAAGAGAGCCTATGACAGGCTCATGCGGCACCTGGTTGCGTGTGACTCTCGCCTCGAGCGTTTCCTTTGCCTCCGGGACGTCTTGGAGCATTTTGCCAGTTTTGTGTTTGACGGCGGCTCCGGTTCTGCCGGTGCCGCCTCTGCACTTGACGCCCTGCCAAAGGAACCGCCCCTAAGGAGAGGCCCGAGCTGCAGCCTTACCGTCCCCTTGCGCTAGGCTGAGGTTAACAGGGCGAGGTGCCTGGGATGCAGAGCCATGGCTGCAGGAACCTATGTGGCTGCCTTTTGTTGAGCCCCGGTGCATGTACCATGGCCGCTCCATGCAGGGATGTGACGTCCCGAATTTTGAGGCTGAGTGTCGCTCTGAGAACCTCTCCTTGGCCCGCCTGTGGTCTGCTCAGGGCCTGTTGGGCCTTGTCCCGGGAGAGCCCGTTGCACGGCACCGCTCGCGAGTGTTTAATGCCTTGAAAGATGCCACCCGAGACCGCCAAATTGGCGATCGGAGGCTGGCAAACCTTGGCGAGAGACACA